GGAGGACACAAACTAGCATCCTCCCGTCACCCTAGGCTCAGTATACCGCGAGCTGCTGCTCGCGGTATACTGAGACACCGCAGCTGAAGCGGATCCCGACAATTGTGCCGGGATCCGCCCAACTGCGTGACTGACAGCTGGCTCTGCCTATCTAGAGGCAGAGCCAGCTGTACCCGCCCCCTCCCCCGTCCGTTCCGCCAGTCAGCGCTGGCGGATCGGAGCGGGGAGGGGGGAATCCAGCCCCTCCCCTGTCACGGCCGAGCGCCGTGAAAGGATCGAGAGGTGAGAGGTGAGCAAACGCCGGTATGTGTTCGCTCACCTCTCGATCTACTGAGCCGACCTGTGACAGTCTCATTGTCACAGGTCGGCTAGAACTATGAGGTGAGTGAAAAGCTTGGCTGGTTCACGAACCATGAACAGGCAGGGTTCACCTTGAACCCACGTCCAAACCGAATCCCATTCCTATTCCCAACTTGTAGAGACAGACTCTAGATTTAAAGTGGACCTTTCAGTAACCTCATAAGTCTGCATGTAACTTTGTGGTTACGCCCCCGGAGTTCAGCTTTAGATAATAAATTAAGAAATATTACAGATTCCATTGGTGACTTTTTTTTATCACAGGCTAACCCTTACCACATTAGTATTCCTTTATCCTTTCCTAATGGGTTAACAGAATGCCACATAGTTTATAGTAAAATCTAGTGTAAAGGTTAACAAGGAAATGGTAACATTGTATAGGTAATCATTATATTGCCTTCTGTTAATGGTCATGCTATAAACGATATTTGCATACTATATGTGCGTGCAGATAGTAAAGAATGATGACATACACAAGTTATACAAATGTTAAAAAAAGTATCTGAATGAGAGTGTGATTGTAGGCAGCATGGTGGTTGGGTGTCTACACTGCTCTCTTTGAGGATGTATTCACACTTATACACACATGTTGATATAATGCATTATGGGGGGCATTCCATTTATTCCTAATGGAACCCCAACACATGTCTGTAAACAAGACATATGACTCTTCAATGCACCCAACACAAAGATGTGAGTACAAACGCGCTTGCGGCGTATCCAGGGTATGGCACGTATGGCACATGCCCTGGGCGCCACTTGAAGAGGGAGGCGCTACTCTGTAGGTCAGCGAAAGTTTGCCGACCCACGGAGACAGCTGACTTTTTTTCTCTTACCACCCTTCTCCCATACATATCTCTTCGCCCCGCTCTTAGCAACCAAAGCAGGCAGGAAGATGCGTATGACCCTGACACATCTCCCTGCCTGACTCTCAGCAACCTGGGATGCTCTGGCCAGTGTCCCGCTCAGCTCCTGGCAACCAGTGACATCACTAGTTGCCAGGGGCCAGGAGTCGGGCAGGACTCCAGCCAGGGCGTTCCTCCTGCATACGCATCTTCCCTGCCCGACTCTTAGCAACCAGAACAGGTAGGGGAATGTGTATGGCCCCTACGCATCTCCTCACCCAACTGGGACACTCTGACCGGAGTCCTGACAAGCTCCTGACAACCAGTGACATCACTGGTTGCCAGGAGCTGGGTGGGATGCCAGGGGTGCAATTTGCTATAGATACGCCTCTGCACATTGGGGAGTTCCGTTGGGAGATTTCCTATTCAGGAGACACAACACGAAGTGAGAAGGAATCTTTTCAAAAGATTTTAGTGAATCTTCATTTTATTCACTCGAAAGGAATCCTTTCGAGTGAATAAAATGAAGATTCACTAAAATCTTTTGTTATTTTGTCGTTTCTGGAGTGCTGGTGACATCCATATCCAACGATTATATCTGATGCGGCGCCATCCGTAGTCATTGCGAGCACCCACATCTCCACATGGGAAGTCCGGTAAGGAGTGCTACAGGTCCTTGGACATTTGAAATCTTTTCAAAGTCCCCTCGTTGACAGTTGTCACCAGAACAAGTGTCCCCTTTGGAAAATGTCCCCTTGTTTCTTTTTTCAAATGGCAACCAAGTTGGCAACCAAGTTTGGAGTTCCCATCACTTTCTGTCTGAAGGGCTGAGGTTGCCTACCCCTGATATAGAGGAACATAGTCTAAATACAGAAATCTCTGAGACCTTCTGAGACAATCTGAGATTGCCACCTGAATACTATAAAACTGGAATGCCAATTGTACACAGCTTTGGCGGCGGACGCAGTAAAATTGCCGTAATACAACTAAAAGGCGGACGGGGAAAGAAAAACTAAAAGGCGGACGGGGAAAGAAAAACTAAAAGGCGGACGGTGGAAGGACGACGGGGAAAATCATAAACTTCTCATTGTTAGTCAAGGTTGCAATCTTAATAAAGTGACACTTAAGGCCCAACATTGGTCAAAATTGATTTGCAAACTCAAATTTGGTTGCAAACTACTGTGGGCGTTCACGCGCTTGAATCACCGCCTGATGCAATGTAAGCAGACAGGTGGGGATCCCGGGTGACGTTGTGGACCATATTTTGTCATTGACCATATTTGGTCACCCCAAAACCAGAGCACTGTGTGTACATACCTGCAACCCCCTGTGCAAGGTACCCCCCAATGTTGAAAGGCATGAGGCCTAGTCTGGTACAGAAAAAAGGGGGTACAGACACTTGCTGCCCTCTCTTCTCTGGATAAGGGTCTAGGTGGAGGTTAAGGGAACCCCACGCCATTTTATTCCTGTTCTCTTTCTGAAGGATTACATTGCACCATTCTGTACCATCATGCACATGGCATCCCAAAATCATGCTATGCAAAGCATTTGTGTATTTTCCTTTAAGATGCATAAAAAGACCCTCTCCCAGTTGTGTGGGGAACCTGTATTGGTACCTGTCCTACGTGCCAGTGCCCAGCTCCCCATGCCCTTATTTTTAACAATAGCTTGCCTATTAGCATTGAAAAAAATAACAAGATTCGCCTCCCATAGACTTCAGCGGGGTTCCGTGCAAAGTTCGGGGGGTGAGCTCACCAAACCTCCCGCAAACGGAACTCGGACAGGTTCCCTTGTTAGGGACAGCTGGCGGTCATTGTATACAAACCTAAATATTTCTTACATGTACATGTAGCACTGAATGGCTCCAACACATCTTGTTAAGAGATAACCGGCTCTCCTGACATTATTTGGGGAATTTCGTTGTGGGTTTGTTTGGTTTTTCGTTTTGCACACATGAGAACGTAATACTAGAAAGTTTCCTGCCCCTGTATTAAACTTCCTGTCTGCCTGCGGCTGAAACTGAAGTGTTACAAAACACCCCGTCTGTTCTCAGATTCCCTCTTTTTTATTTATTTAGACCGTCGAGTGCCCTTCCAGCCCCTGTAGATCCCGTTCTTTCCAAACTCCACCATACATGACCCACTTCTGCTTTGCCTGACAATGTAACGTCAATTACATGTCTCCAGCTCGTCAACTGACGGCGATAACGTGGGTTTGAGGCGAAGTCGGCTAGCCACGGTCTGCATCAAAAGTGACCACATGCTGTGACCATGACGCAATTCCAGAAACACGACAATTTGGGAAGAACCATCGGTCCTGGTGAATTGGGTAGGGGGTCATTAGAGGAGATGTAAACCCAAACTGGATGACATTAAGGGGTTGATTTATAAATGTTCTGCCCGGCATATAGCTGGGCAGATATATATATATATATATATATATATATATATAT